CTTCGTGAGACATCGTGGATGTTTAGTCAAGGCATTTTGGATATCTCTTCCCGTGTAAATCAAATGCATTTTTGGTGCGTATAGCAAGACATCCCTATGTCCTTAAGGCATTGAGGATGCATTAGATGCGCCGAGATGTCCTATAAAAGTAGGCTACCACGAAAAACATTTTATTTTAACATGTGAAAAAATTAAATAAACAAACAAGAGATTAAAAATTTTAACGGATTAAGATAAAATAAAAATGACTCAGTTACAGTAGAATAAGATGAAACATTTATATTGAATCAAAGAAAAAGCTGCTAAACACATTGTGGGAACAAATAAATTGAAATCACATCAAAATTGACCGGTACAAATATCACATGTGCAACTATGAAGAAAAATACGAAGAAGGGAAAAGCGAAAAAAGGGGTAAAGCGAAAAAAAAGTGGCTCAGTAATTCATTTTTGTCTAGTTTTCTTTGTTGATCAGTTGCGGATGGATGACCTGCAAACGGATCAGGAATGTTGTGACTGAACGCATTAACAACGATCCATCTTGGAGACAAACTTATCACAAAGACAGCAATTATACGAAATTATTACAAATTCTTGAAAAAATTCGTAAAATATCATGGCTTTCGATCAACATTTTCATGTTTTGGTGTAAATCTCGATAATTTTTCAATGTGAAAATTCAACCAAACTCTCTCCTTAGTAAAATGCTAAGGTAACGAAAGCGAAATTCAAAAAACTGACCTGACACTTTGTGCATTTACGTCTTACGAGGGAACCTCTCGAGGTGATAAAACGCTTTTTGATCGACATCTAATGGGTTATAGGTTATCGACCATGCTGATTCCGAATATGATTATGGGAGCTGCCCTTAACCGTACGAAGGTCCGGTTTTCTGGAAAACCAGGTTTTCAGAAACTATAAAAGATAACCAAAACCTTTCTTAATGAAGCATGATTGTAGCCCGCGAATTCTGATTAAAATGAGATATCTCCCAGCTCTAGATGACCTTTCTTTGCAAAGTTATAGAATTTACAGGAAAAGCCCTAAATTTCTAGCAGGTATCGTTTTTCGCCTGTCTTTCTGCAGAATAGATTTTTGTTCAAACTTCATACCATCTGTGTTGGCTCTTTATAAGTGTCGTTCTACTTTTTTGCCTTCGCGTCATCCGTGATTATAGTAGTGTTTCTTTTAACGAGTCATTTAACCAACTCTTTTAAAGACTTGTTTAAATGAATTATGTCAATAATCTCATTTTCGACATAGTTTTGTTTCTGCTAATTTAGAGAAACCTGGGATTGAGGGATGAATCGCTGCTTATCATTTCAACGATTTTTTGAAATGTATCGATAATAGTTCTAAGGATTTGATAAATAAAGTAATATAGTCAAGGTTCCACACTGTGGCTTCTGTTGTTTTTATTTAGTTTATATGAATTATTATTGCCTATTAATTCCGAAGCATCACGTCAACAAAGAGCAAGATTTGAACGTTATGATGATGTTGATAAATATCCACTGATAATTTTATTATCACGATAACAAATGCTGAAGTACATCAGGTAAGATGTTGTCAAATGACTATCAGACCATATCGACTTGAGAGCGCAACGACATTGAGACTTATGTACATTCATTAATTTATCTGTTATGATTTAACGGAATACATCTCATCAGAGAATGGTTGTCTAATCGTTCTAGTATATCAGGATTAAATCATTCTCTTGCTTTGCCTACTAGCAGGTGAGGATGAAACAGCATCTGGTAGTCGACTATCAACAAAGATGTGTAAAGTTATCGTTCATCTAGAGTTCTGCTGTTGACTACGGTCTTTTTCTGAGTATAAAAAAAGCCATTCTGATGTGATTTTGAATAAGTTTAAGACGTCTTGTTTCTGATGGTATTGGTATAAACTTTTTTATCAAATGAAGAAATAGTCTTGGTATATATCATAATAAAGACGGAAGAACCACAACAATATAAAGGAAAAATTCAAAGCATCATTTTAACTATTCATTTCAATCAGGTATAAATTTCATTATGTTAATTTAGCAAACACAACGTCCATATTCAGACAATCCTCAGATCCAAAATGCTAGTGTCAGAGTAACATCTACAGTGAATAATTTAGATGGTAAATGAAAACAAACATTCTAAGAATTGAGAAAATTTATTTGTTATCTTTTTAGAAACCAGAGTAGGATACAACAATCGAAACGATACTAAACGACAGGTATCACACAAAGCGTTTCTTTGGCAAGTGGGAAAAAGTACGTTTTTTAGTTTCATTGTGTTTTAGGTTACATTATCGTTATCCTTACCAAAAACAATGACTGGAATTAGTGGCAATGGTCTTGATTTGGACTCACGTCGTTTCGCATATGCTCAAACAACATTAGACGTGGGAAAGCGCTATGATTGTTTAGTAGTATCAGCAAAAAATTCATCATTATTCACACTGCAGTTACTAAAAGATGTGACCTCAATGAAAGAATTTGCACAAACTTTATTGTTAGTGCGATTATAGTGAAATACTGAACTCTAGTCTGTTTTATTTTTATTGTAGTAAGTTTTATTTTGGTCCCTACAGTGATCAATTAGTTATCGATCGTGGTGGTATACAACTAAATCTATGTTGTATGTGTCGTCACTGCGACGATGGTTATGTAACATGGTATCGTTCACAAATAATTGATTACAATTTTGAATCGGATACATGTGATTTATTTTATGTTGATTATAATTTTTGGAGAGAACATGTACCACGTACACGATTGAGATATATCTTAAAAGAACATCAACAAGAACCGGTGAGAATATTAACATGTCAATTAAATGATATTCAATCACAACATGGTACTGGTAAAGTTGCTATTATGCATGAATATTTTATTGACACTTTTGTTGTTCAGTAATGTCCCATTCTCCAACAACACGACCGAGTGTTCTCAAAATTTTATCCTAGATAGAACAATTGATGCGCTACAATTTGGTATAATTTGAGTCAAGGTGATCGTTAGAATCTTGGGAACGAGAGATCAAAAAAGAATGGAAACAATCGAACTGTTTTTCTTAACCTTCACAAATTATCCTTGAAAGGTCGGTCTAGAGTAAAAAGATTGACGGGTCTAAGCATGATAATTTGGTAAAAAGAAATTATCTCTAGTTTTATCGGTTAGTGTAGGGCACAACAATCTGTTTTTATTCGTTCTTCAGTTTAAAGTGTTCTTGTAAATCGAAGACTTTTTTCTGCTTCTTATTTTAGCATCGATTTTTCTCTAAGATGACTTCTCTGCTTATGTTTATTTTTCCAATAACCATTAACAGTGTTGATTCTAGGAGAGACAGGAACAGTAGAAATTTTCCTATATAGAAAAATTGGTGCGCTACAATTTGGTATAATTTGAGTCAAGGTGATCATTAGAATCTTGGAAACAAGAGATCGAAAAAGATGTTGATCAGAAAATAACTATGAAAGAAGGTTTCAACCGCAATGAATTTTATATAGATAGCTGGCCCCTGAATTGCTCTATCGAATTGTAGAATCGATAGAGAATTTCGAGAGCTATATTTTGCACTATTTATATTTGAAAAACGAGAAATTTCGATTTTTTGCCAAATTTCCGCTTGGATGCCCACTGTGCCGAGGTCACCAGCAAAACTATATTTTCGAATTTTGATCTGAAACTTTGCCTACATGAAGACCCCGACTAGACTAGCTTGCATACAAAATTTCACAATTTTTTAACAAAGTCTCTCGGAGATATGAATTTGTCAAGATATAGGCGCTTTTCTATACAGTGTGTATAAAACATGCATCGTTTGAAAAACTCATATCTCCGAGAGACTTTGTTAAATTAAAAATTATAAAATTTTGTATGCAAGCTAGTCTAGGCGGGGTCTTCATGTAGGCAAAGTTTCAGATCAAAATTCGAAAATATAGTTTTGCTGGTGACCTCGGGTCCCAGAGAGAAAATTCACTAAAAATTCGATATCTCGCCAGGAACAAACTAGGGGCACGAACTCTTTTCAGGGTATTCATAGTTCACTAGGGTCTACATAATGCACATAGTCTCGACTCAAAAGCGAATGGACACTTGGGAACGTTCCCTCGTGCGTCAATATTTCGTGATTCTCGGCCAGAATTTTCCTTAAACTGAGCAACGATGAATGCGACAGAAACGAACATCCTCCGCAGATGATGTTTGATAAAGACCATTGCTTTTGGTCAAACTCGGTCAAAATTTAATCAGACTCGCTCAATATTCCATATTTCTCGGTCAAAATTTCCAGAAACCGGATCCGAAGATCATTTTTCTAAATCAAAATCTCATGAAACTGCTTGAACATTTCATATTTCTCGCTCAAAAATTCATCAAACTGGGTCAAAAGTTCATATTTCTTCGTAAAAGTTTCCTTAAACTTGGTCAAAATATTATTTTTCTGAGTTAAAATCTCATCAGACTAGGTCATAATTTCACGACACTCGGCCAGAGATTAATCCAAGTGCTATGTGATTGTCGAGCAATCTCTTAGGCTGTCGTTTCTTCTGCGAGTCTCTCGCAGGGTGTAGACATAACACCCTATAATTTTGCGGATTGGAATGAAATACATCACTAGTGCATTGATGTAAAAGCTTCGTCTATTGGAAAATGACATTTGACATTGAAAACCATTTACGAAATATTCAATATCGCCAAGAAGGAGTGTGGGCAGAATGGGCACAAAACAAATGACCAATTGAAGAATAATAGCCATCCCATATAGATGAACCGATTGAAGACTTTGACGAATATACAAAACGAAATATTGTTTGGAGCATATTAAAGTAAAACATACGAAGGGAGACCATGATTCGATAACCACGAATGCGACAGAAAAGATCATCCTCCGCAGATGATGTTTGATAAAGATCTTTGTTCAACTCGGTCAAAATTCCTTGTTTCTCGATCAAAACTTCATCAAATTCGGGGACAATAGCATCAAATTCGGTCAAAATATCATTTTTTTCTGGGTGAAAACCTCATCAAACTGGATGATAACATTTCATATTTCTCGCTCAAAATTTCATCAAACTTGAACAAATCTTTATCAGTCTTGGGGAAAATATCATCAAACTCGGTCAAAATTTCTTTAAACTTGGCCGAAACATCATCAAACTGCTATATTTTTCTGAGTCAAAAGGCAGTTAAATTGCGTCAACATATCATATTTTTCGCTCCAAATTCCATTCACGGATTTCCGAGCACGCGTACGAGTTCGAATACTGAGGGTCGATTACGAGTAGGAGAATGAGTATTTTCTTAAAAGTGCTTGAGTACTACTGTAACCGGACAATCGAAGAAACCCTATGGATCCTCCTAATCGGAAAAATGAAGAAAACCTATGCTAACTTTTCGGAAACTTTTATTTTCTTCTGCAACAAAAATGGAAATGGAAAATCGAGCTCTGTTAGACCGTGGAAACAAGTGTTGGCTACATTTCAAGTCCAACCTGGAATTTTTATCACGTAAAACAGCGGAGAAATCGTGAAATTACGCAATGCTAAGAGGTCAAAAATCGATTTAGATGAAAGACAGAAGAAAAGAAACGCAGATTTTTTGGTGCTCTTAGAAAAATGCTTATTACTTTTGATTGAAATATTGCACAGAGCTCAGCAACGTCTCATTTTGAAGAAAACACTTTTCTCTATACGCATAAATATCTGAAAACATTTTAACTGGCCACCACATGTGTAGACAAATTTTGCAAAGTGAACAATGATCAATTAGAACCTCCAGTGGC